ATTACCAAGTTCAGCGAAAGGATACATCTCTTTCGAGTTTCAGTGCCTGAAATACTCGATGCCTGTACGTGACAGTCGAAGATAGAAACAGATAAACTCACTGATAGAGTGTTCCGTCTCTAGCGCCCACAGCGAGCTTTGGGTGGAAATCTTAGCGGTTTCAAATGTGTTTCGTTTGACGACTGCGATAAATTTGCACCGGAAGGACGGACCATTTTAATCAAAAGAGGTATCGAGGAATGTATGTGGGTGTACATGACAGGATTCTCTATTTTATGAGATATTTCCCTGTGATGAGCAAAGATCGTAAAGGTACACAAGTGTCAAAACATTGCGAAAATGTCTATCCTTGAGGTGAAACATGCCCATAGCGCGCTAAAAAATTCGCGCACACCCTGTTTTTCAGTTTACCCAAGTAAAATACATGGGTGTCTACATATTAAATTCAAGCATTTTAATCCACTATTTTTATGTGACGACATTTCATATTGTCTAGTGACGCCAAGCTAAACCGACAACCCGTACGAAATGCAAATGACGCGGAAACGCTAAGGTTTGACGTGATTGGTTTGGGTTTGCACTTGATTGGCAGTTGATAAACTGTCAGGGGTTTCCTTTGACAAGTGTTGCGTAAAGAATTGCACAATAAGCTCGGTTTAGTCATGTCTCAAAAATCCCTCAAGATCGGAGAGCCGCCAAAGATAAAGGTCATTGAAAAATATTTTTAAAAAAGTTGAAAAGGTCACACAACCATTTCTGTTCGCTTTCATCGCGGATTGACTGTATATTTCATCGCTACTTTCATTTTTCTGGTGTTTCATTTTAAACGCCGTTTTCTTTTTCTAGGCATTTAAGACTTCATTTGTCAATGGTGTGTTGAAAGAGCTAATAAGTCATTTGGAATTAGGAGCACGTTAGAAACTCATTAATTCTGTTATTCCGCGCATCTATAAAGGAGCTTTCTTCGATGCGAATGTTTCTTGCTGTCAGGAAACAAAGTATACCAGCTTCTTCTATCCAGTCCAAAACAAGTTATTGTTGTGAGCAGTTTGAAGCGGAAGAAGAGATTAAAATTTCTCTCCCTAACTTCGTTTGTTCTATGTATTATTGACCACAAATGGCATTGGAATTAAAATTTGGCTAGTAAAATTACCGCATTTGGTCAGAAAAACCTTGAAATCAATTTACTTGAAGCTGTTTTTTTCTCATTCCGTTAAATTGAAACGCAGTGTTGGGACGAGACAGACAAGACCAGAAAACTATTCTATCGATTTTCGCTAGGGGTTCCTTAACTGATAATCCATTCTTAAACTGACGCTTGCATCGATCAGTGATATTAACCAATCAAGGCCATTTTTTCTCTCCTGACAGCCAGATAGATGCAATACTTAAGCTGCGCGCTTCCTGCGCTTGCATGGTACCTTGACTTTTTCCCGCGCTTTGTTCAGTGACAAGTTTTCAGGTTATGGTTGCTTGTTTCCCGCGCTTCGCACCAACTACCGGTGGCAGAATTTCCCGCGCTATTTCATGTTTTTGCCCGCTGAAACACTTTCGCGCTCTAACGGTGAGCTGTCTACAGTGTAGGTTTACATTTACATGTTATCCGGTCTTGGTACCAGTTGTATAGTTTTCCGCGCTTGGCTCTACTCGAAGCGTCGCGGCCAGTCATGTTTAACAACTTCTCAGAGGGGCATGCCGAAAATGATGTGGACTTTTTCTTAGTGTTAGATTTCCTTGCTGTGGTAAAACTGTACATCTGTGCTTATGTAGTTGAGTTCAGAAGACTGGATTACACACATTACACGAAATCAAATTGATTGGCGAATTTTCCGAGGATTAGAAACCTGTTCAATGTTTAAACTGTTTAAGGGGCCGTGTGGTACTTAACATTCTTACAAATATATCTTTGTAATCGAATTCAGCAAATCTTGACTTTAAATTAGGTATTTTTTGTTGTAGTAAGTTCATTTAATTATGATCGAAAGCCCTTCAAATGCGCCATCATACCCAAGGCAAAGAATTCTTACGTTTGTTCGCACGCTTCAAACTTCTGCGTTTTTACTGCCCCAGCAGAAAGAAATTATCGAACATAAGACAATTTCCCAAATGGCATGGTTAGAGAAGCAATCTCGTCCAAAAATAACAAGAACTGTGTTATATAACGATAGGTTCTGGAATCTTCTTTGAGTTTGTGAAAAAAAAAATGTTGGCTGTAAAGAATCGTGCGTGTGTTTTGATTGTCCATTGTGTTTATGTAATGTATCAAACGATTTATCAAGCAAACATTCCATTCCTCAATTATAGCACAAAAGAAAGGAGTGTGTTTATTGTTCCCTTTGAAAACGCCAATTAAATCGCACTCAATCGCATTTCTCCTTTTGACAAGTCCATTTAGGCAGAACGTAAAAACGTGATTAACATACTGCTTCTGAAGTGTTGTCAATGAGAAACATTGACCTTTAAATGGGTTTTAGTATAGTGTGCGTTGTTCTAGCTTCGCACCAATAACAAACGAACAATATTTTTATCTGGCCTGTAACGATTAGAGACCTAATCTGATGGAAGAATGTCTTGACGACGCCCAGAAACTTAAGATGTCACTTTAATAATCTGTTCCTGTCCTAAATCAGGGTTCATTTAGGTTATTTCTGGACGAAATAACACAGCTTTTTCCCAGATGTTTATGAGACAGGATCCTTTGACACCCAAGATTGAAGTTTTTAGTACTATCAAAGCCTGGCAACTGTGCATATTTCGATCCAATTAGGTTCAACTCGAACACAGCGGGTTGAAATATAGCCAGACAGTTTTCCATCGTTTTGTGTGACACTTATCTATTTCCGTGACCGCTAAATTGATTTTTTTCAATCAAATTTCGATCGGCGCTTGTGCCTTGACCTCAATACCACTGACACTCGTAAAGAGAGACGAGATTAAATCTTATCTTGTCACAGAGCTAAAAAGCAAAATTGAACGGTATCTTAGCCCAGGGATTGGTAGAGATGTTAATTGCCGCGCCAGAGAAGCAACTCTCGGCGGCGAAATTCTTTCTGAGGAGTAGCTATTAAAGAAATATTCGCCTGTCAGCCGCAAACTCGAGAGTCTATGATCGCACGTGCGTTGAAATGTGCATCCTGGTAGATTACAATCGTTGTCAATGCTGTCAACCTTTTTCCGTAGTCTCATGAACTAGCGTAAACCAATCAGGGCAGTTTTGTGCTGATGCTTTTCTTCGAAGCGTGTCGGAATTGTTTTGGGATGTTGACGTTTCGTCAGTTGGTCTGAAATGCCTCGCGGTGCGTGGCGCGTGATGTTTTTACAACATTCGTTTTGTCAGAGCGTGATCGCGTATCATCGCTAATTGCAGCTCATAATTGATGAGGTTTAGTAGACATCTTTGCATAGAAACCGCCCTTTTGAGCTCGGGAAAGCGACTATGAGCTCAGGTAAAAACAGATGCTTTGTGATCTTGTGCTATTTCCGCAATTGTAGGTTTTGTAAGTGATCCGAAGACACTTCTTCACTGTGTCGTGTAAAGGTTTTCTCTGTTAATGGTGCAGCGATGAATCTCAGCTTATATTTGTTCTCAATCAAACTGCACTCTTACAGGACTCAAAGGGAAACTTTTTGGTGGCAGCAAAGTCAAAAGAGCCCGCTCCTTTTCCGGCAGAGAAAAACAGAAATGGACGCCAGCGAAAGACGCGAAAGAAGGTCAGTCAATTTGGAATCGGAAGTACACATTTAATGAAGCCTCAGGTATTTTCTCTTTCATACCACAATTAGACTTTCAGTGCTCATTTAGATCCCATTTTTTAGAATTATTCCCTAGTAATTTCACACGCTGGTGTCCATAAGGTATTGTAGCAGCGAGATGTTCCTTCGTGTAGTAAGTCCTCCGGGTTTTTATGTGGGATATTTTAAAAACCATTCATAAATTACAAGAAAAAATTTTGTAAACGCCCTGAGGCGCTAAAGTAGGGAACACATTTTTCATGTCCGCGTGTTGATTGTGGTTTTCGTTTCAGAAATAAACTATCGTCTCAAATTTAATGCCTTATAATGCTAAAAATCTTTATTGGGGGGATATTTTATTCCCTTGTCACGTCTACTTGAAACTCTTGTATAGTATTTGATTTTTAATATTGTTAAAGGTTACCCGTGTGTAACCACACTTGATACCTCCACACTTAATGCTATCTCGCTGAGCTGAACAAAGCCTCAGTCCGATATTTCGCCTTGAAAAGCACAGCCAGTTTGAACTGATCTGTTCTCTGTTTCCATTGAGCATATCCATCTTGCGTGAAGCCTCTATTTTTACGAAATTTGGGCGATGATGAGGGATTTTAAAGAGTCAAAATGTGGCAGTTTAGGTAAGTTTAGAGCGAAATGATAAGAACAGACTCGCGCGCGATGTATGTTTGTTAACCGCGTTTTTCGCGCGCGCTTGAACTTCGGATCAGTAACCATTGCTAAGTGACTTATTTTTTGAGCGGGATGTTGCTAAACCGCTATTCACGAAAAGGAGCTAAGCGCATTTGTCTTAATGACCTCGCAGCTTTACAGAACGAGAGATTTACGTAGGCACTATAGACAAAGCGATCCTTAGAGAGGGCTGACAATGGAAGTCTTTCGAGTCTCTTTGTTCGAAGCACTGTCTAAATCTTCGGTATAAAAGATTTGACAATGCGATAGCAATAAATCTTTTCCTTCTTCGAGCTTGTCTTTGCTTGGCAGTGGTTCGTTTTAAAAGGGGTGCGCACTCATGTCACACGGAAAATTGTAAGAAATGAAAATGAGACGGAATAGCGACGGAGGTAAATGCACAAGGATTTGTTTTCATTGCTGAAGTTTTCCTTCCTGTTTCTATGTGTTTTTAAAACAGCTGTTACTGGGTTAGAGGCTTAATCTTGGTAATTCTGACCATGTATGGAGAGATATTGTCAAGTTTTTTCGGGTGATAGGCTATGCCTGAAGTGATCTTGGATCCCGTGCTAATTGGTTTTAATATTAAACACCCCCCGAAAACGACAACTTCGTGTCGATTTTGCGCGCCCTAGAAATGCGTGTTTTTGTCTCACAGCAACTGACGCGAATTTTATCACATTAAGATATGCCAAACCAAACACAAAGAGCTGGCCCAGAATTCTAACGTAACGCTCGTAGGCTGATTACATTTGATGCCATCTTGTTTGTTTGTCTCGCGATCTTAATGCAAATATTGCCAGCTGCTGCCTGTGGCTGAGTTTACGGACGCTGTTACTTTTGCCAAAGCTCTAGAGTTGCCACGTATTGGTCGGCGATTTCGGTTCCTATCCCATCTCTAATGACATGGCCACCGTAACACCACAGTGATGTTGCTGCTTTTAAGTGATGGGGGATAGCCAGACCTTTCTTGTGCGATACACCAAAAGGCAGAAATGTAAGTGCTTTCCAGTTATAGTTGTAATTACTGCTAAGTAAACGAGAAAGTACATTCGCCGATTTTGCATGTTTCGACGACTGTTCGTGGGGGCCACTCGAAGTTGTGTTTTGCTTGATGAATGGTAATCTTTCGGCTTCCCACGTCAAATTGGTTGCAGACATGTCGCTTTTAATTTCTCTCCTTTTAAGTAAAGAAATGCGTTACCAATCTCAGTCACAAATATGACAGGATGGAAAATTATAACAGATACCAGAACACCGAAATGGGGTTCGCTGCGCGATAGTCAAGAGTTTTCTCTTTCGTACCAAAGCTTATTATCCTTAGGTTTGCGGAATTTCAAGATGTATTGTGCACGATCGGTGGAGAATCTTGACAAGAACGATATATATATTTTGCCTCGGCTTTACGGCTGTTTAACGCTTTTAAACGGCTTAATCCATCTTCCTTGCTTTCGTCGAGTTGTCATACCGTACGTCATTTTAAGGACCTTCATGTTTTTGGCAAGATGTTCGGTAGCGTGACAGGTTTGAAACTTAATATTATTTACCCCGCGACAAATCTTTTTTATGCAGTTTTCCTCGTCATAATTTTTCATTTAAGTTTATTTTTTAGCATTAGATCACTTTGCGTGCGTTTTCATTTAGTTACGACAAATCTATGCTTCTAAGCTTTTGATTGTAATTTGATCTTAGGAATTACTCTTGTGGGAAAAATAATAACAATGACACCGATGGCCCACGATTCACCAATGTACACAATCACACAAATTACTACATTTACGAAACTTTCTGCTCTTATTCCATTCAGTTCTTGTATCACAAGAAGACCGCCATATTTGTTGCTTATGTCGTGCTGCGTGCGAATATTTTCATGACATTTTCCTCAATTCCTTAGCAATATGGTTTTCCTCGTACTCAGACATGTTTGAGAAGTTTTTGTTTTAATAATTTGGCCAAGCAACGATGTATGTAAATCAGTTTTCACGAAAACCAGGCTGTTTGTGAAAAATTTATGATAGACCTATCCACGGAACTCGTGATTGCGATGGAGTTAATCGTGTATCTAGCACACTTCTCGTTTTGGGTCCTTAGTTACTCAATCAAGCAAGATTAATTTGAAAACACAGCCGTTTTACATGCTTGGAAGATTCTTCAAATTTTATGTCAGTGCGCGAAATATCCCACAATGGAATTTAAACGCGGGTGGCGAAAAGTCAACGTTGTGATCGCGAAACATTGCTCCAAAGATAGCTGAATTTACGGCATTTAAAAGGCACATCGCATGCAATTGTTCCTATTCAAGGCTTAAATTTACAGAGATTCACGGCAATACTTTAATTACGTATTCCAGGAGACTCTAGCCAAACCGCATTTCCAATTAACTTGCCTCTTCGTGTTTGTTTGTCGAATGTTGATTGAATTTTGCTGGTTCTTTTGTGTTTTTGAGATAAGGATCTTTTCCTAACAATGCCTAGTATCTGTACTACAGACCACTTTCATTATAATCTATTGAACAACCATGCATCTCTATATTTTTACTGTAGAAACAATGGTTACCTTTTGTTAATTAATTTATTTAAAAGATATTTTGTTGTTGAGGTTTTTCCTATATATTGGAACAAAATTGGTTGTTGTTTCATTTTAAATTACTGACTACCTGTTTCTCCCTGAAGTTAAACGTTCCTTACTTTTAGTTAAGAATTCAGAATCATTTTTTGAGCCAACAAATTTAGTACAAATCATGTGAACTTAAAATTTGAAGTTTATATTGAGTCACAAATGCATATCTTCAATTTTAAACATAGGAATGGAGTCATATATACATTGTATGTCTGCATCGAAAAAATATTGGTTTTAATATTAATCTGTGGTTTTCAGCAAATTTGCATCTTAGCATGTTTATGATTATTTTTTATAAACAAAGATCCCTGTAGAGATAAACATTTGCATAGATATTGTAATCAAAAGTAAAATGTGTTAAATTTATGTTCAAAAGATAAGTGCTCTTGTGACATTCTAACACTTGTTAAATTCATTGGAAATATTTGCATGCATAGGAAATAGTTCTGAAGATTGTATTGAGCTTATCTGCAGTTGAGCTACATCTAAAAGATTTTGGTATTAAGGTCATCCTTGTGTGCTATAACATTACAGCTATATTTAAGGTGCTTTTATGCTCCAGTAGCTTTTCAAGCCTCAGTGATGTACTCTTCAGAGTTCAATAATCTTGCTGTCAAAGTTACAGTTGAAGTAATTTTATTTTATTTCAAGGTGCAAGGTCAAGTATTCTTGAACTTTTCATTCTAATCTCCTAATTCCTTAAGTTGCGTGACTTACATAGAGCTCTAGGGGTTATCTTCACCGTAGAACCTTGTCCTAATGGTTACCTTGGGAACCGGGAAAGCGGGTGTTGTAGACATGGTCACTATAAGCATGAAAGGGGTACAGTGTTTTTTTTTTTTTTTCTTCAGGAAGGTAGAACATTTTATACTACTAAATTGTTAGGTGAAAGATGATCTTATTCAGTTAATTACCTAGGTAGACTCAAAGAAAAAAAAAAACTCCAAGTACATCCATTAGGATTCAAACCCATGACCTTCTGACGGGCTGAGGCAGATGTTCCCTTAAATTTTTTTTTAAACATTTTAACCAAATTCTGTCGAACCATCTTCAGTAAAGTGTAATACTCTGATGTAACCATTGACAAAGACAAGTAAAGTAGATGAATCTATTTGAAATTTGAACGTTTTTTTTTTTTAACTTAATGAAATAATTTGTTAAGATTTGAGGTATTTTTCAGGTTGGTTTTTGAAACCATGTTAATTTTATTGTGATATACTTCTTTTAAACTGGTTAACTTGATAAAAAGAAAAAGTTAATCAGAACAAGTATTTACACTTGATGAGGCCTGGCAATTTAAAATCAATCAACAATTGTAGAATTGTTTTTAAGTATAATGTAGCTTTGTGAAAGTGTACTTCCTGTATTAGATGTAACATAAGATATGTAATTTTATCTTTTGAACAATAGACACACAGACACACAGAATCAACAAGTTGTTAAATTATAAATTTATATCTTGAGGATATTTTTATTGTCTGCATGTTTCCATTTACCATCTGTCAATTGATTGTATCTTCTCTTATCTAAGCATTCTTTCTGTCTTGGAATTCCATGTTGCTTAGTGAGATACTGTAAAATTATCACTGCTGTGGAATGATAAAATGTATCTTTCTTTCTTTAATTGCAAACTGATCATAATTTATGAGATGTCATTTTAATTGACAGCCCATTTGTAATAAATCTTAGAAATCAATGAAGTCAGCAGTCATGAAGGAATTGATTAGTGAAAAGAAAGTTGTTTCTTCAATTGGCTGTTGACTTAAAACTAAATGCTATCAATCTGGTGGTAAACTATTCCTTTTTTATTTAATATTTAGAAAAAATATATATAAAAGGCTGAATTTATCTTAATTAGAGCTAGTTTTAAGTAAAGAAAGTCATTTCTTCAATTGGCTGTCGACTTAAAACTGAGTGCTATCAATCTGGTGGTAAACTATTCCTTTTTTATTTAATGTTTAGAAAAAAATTTGTCAGAACTAGTTTTCAGTTTGGTAGATCATGGAAAATTATTTATTCAGTATTTTCTCAGGGTATAAATTATTAAGAGGCAACTTCTTGGAGAAACCATTTATTATTAACCCAAAAAAGTGATGTTTTATTTCTTGGACTTTTAACCACTTAATTTTGTTTGTGGCGTATAAAAGTTGACACATTTTAAAATTCCTGTAATTTGTCTGTTTGTTTGTTTTTTACTTTACTTTCCTTTTAATGTAGGTATTTACAAGATATTTTTGTTAGTTTTGTCAGTGTCAACTCTGTCAGAAATTGTGTCTTTAATGTTTCTTTGAACTGTTGCTACACAATGTAGATGAAACATTTTTATTCAGGAATTTTTGAATTAATTCTTTGTTGTCTTTAAAAGATTTTTAATCTTTGGCAGCCATCCCTTTTCCATTTTTGTTCAAGTCAGTTTTTCCCCCCCAAAACTTACATGTATGTACAACTGCTTTTGTTACTGTTTTAAGTACAGCTATAGTATTTCTTTACAATAAGTTCTGTTCTGGGAATGAATTTAGAATTTATTTCAAAACCAGTCAACTTAGTGGTTGAATTTCTGATATTTTGTCTGGCCTTGAACCTCTGATGTGTGCTATTCTTTTAATTTGTCGATTTACTGAAATCACTTAATTTTTAATTAACATTTCTTAGAAATGTAAATGTCATGTACCTTTGTATTCCCTTTGATATGCTAATTTTACTGTTCACAGTTTGGTTGACAAGATTCAGGGAGATAAATGTGAACCTTTCAATTGCAGCTCTTTTTGATATCTGTGCATGTCCAATTTTTTCAGACTGGAATCTTTTATTATTTTGATACCTAGCCTGCTTTTTGGCTAAGTTTTTTTTTTAATTGTTTTTTTTGTAACTGCTGGCAATTCTCTTTATGCAAGGTTTCAATATTCTTAAGTGACATCTGTATGTGAAAAGTAGGATCATCTTAGGTTCACTGTCTGTCAGCCAAGTTTCTTTTTCTGGTGAAAAGAAGACTTTTTTGTTGTGGACAAACTCTTCAAAAGTATTTCAATTTTTCAAATGGAGAATGAAGCTTCTCACATTTTCAAAACCGATTATGCAGGTTAGTTCAACCTGGCAGTTGTTGTTTAATGTATAAGATCCCTATCTCTTTGTGTCATGGCATGGTGAGGACTTCTTGTGTAGTGAAATGCAGAACTGCTCTCTTTGTGAGCTCTGATAGTTTGTGGTAAAGTTAATATAAGTGGAAGGACAAGACATATATCCTTTTTTGTTTTATTTTTATATTCTCAATACTTGTTCAGTTTGGTTATTATAGAGTCCAAAAAAATATTTTGATCTTGATATATAGAATGAAAGGTGACATTTATATGAACTATGTTGTTTCAAGTTGTGCCATTTTAGCACCCGAGAGAATTGCCTTTGGTAAATAAATCCTTCAAATAACCCTTAAATTGCTTATAAGCTTTAAGTTCTTAACAATAGATAACTGCTGCCGTGAATTTAACAAATTCTGGAATTTATAGTGTAAGCTCTTTGTTTTAGCAGTGAAAATTTGCCAATATGAAAGCTGTCTACTTACCTTTATCAACCTATAGTTGATAACCAACAAATTCTTTTACTTGTGAAGTCTAGATTCTTGAATATGACAAACTTTTTGTTTTATTTAGATACAGCCACAACTGTCAGTGATTCAGAAGCTAAGAGCCATGCACGACGGCCAAGACGAAGAACCACAGGAGGGTCGGAGGCCGGACAAGATATCGAAAAGGCAAAGAGATTGCATGCACAGGGAAATGGGAATTCCAGTGAACCGGACAATCCGGCTGCCCAGACACTTTCACGTCAGCAGATTATTGCCATGGTAAAGAAGCGGTTTGGTTTAAAACCAGGGGAGCAAAATGAAAGCAAACCAAATGGAATACAAGAAATACCGCCGGTAAGACTATTTCTGTGAGTGTTTGTCACCCTTTTAAATGCACTTGGGTTTGGTAACAGCCAACAAGTATCCTAAGGGTAAACTGTGCCACCAAAGAACTACTTTTCAGGCATCAGAGCTGTCCTCTCTTGAAACCTGGGGTGCTACAAATGACTAATTTTTGTCATAGGATGAACTTTTAAGAGCTATACATCCCAGATTTCTGAAGCAAGAGCCTTCAAGCCCCCAGTTGTTCTTCTAAGAGCACATCTTAGCTTTGCCAAAGTTTCTATCTTTCCAGTATTTGAATAGGGTACTTTGTAACTGTTATGATTACAGTCCAAAAATCTTAGACTCAAAAGTATTTTTTTTGTTTTTCCATTTGCGTAAGTCCTATTCAAAAGTTTTTTCCCAATATTTTGCTTGCATACAGTGAAACATTGTCAATTGTTTATAATATTATAAATAGTTCCTACTTACTGATTAGATAATTTGTAGAATTTTAAGCAAACTTGTTGAGTATTTTGGGTGAGGCCCTGTTCACAAATTCAAGATGTTAGCAGTAAGTGCAATAACACTGAATTTTTCCATTATAATTGAAAATTATGTTTGCATGAATACGTTATATTGATGTTTGAGGTTTTCTGAAGCTCTGAATTTGTTCAATTAGTGTTTCCTTGAAAGACTTTGGACGTAAATATTTCAGTGAGGTCGTTTCATCTGTGCTAATCAATATTAACAGTGTGAATCACCTGTGGACTAAGCCATTTCCTTTTGGCATAGCATGGTTCTGCATTTAAACAGATAAAATTACAAGTTTTACAACATTTGTAGTTGTTGACGTTGTCATGCCAGAGTTGCCAATACACCGTTATATTTAAGGAATTAAAGTTTTGTAATTTTGTAATAGATACTTAGAAAGGAAGGAAAGTGGTGTGAAAATTTATCACAAAGTACCTTTGGGAGTTTTCTTGCTTTTATTTGCCATTTTCTTTTCCTTGCCGGCATATATATCCTCTCTCTAGTGTAAATTTGTTTTGTGGTTTTTGTTATTTTGTACTCAAACCACACTATCAAAATAATTACAAGTTAACATTTTTAGGATGTAAATATCCTTCTTAAAGGACTAATTGTTGATAGAAAAACTTTTGTAATTATGTAATACAGACATACTAAAAACAAAAAACAAAAAAAAAATACAATTAATCACAATGCTCTTTTGTAACTATTTTTGCATGTATTTGCTATTTTTTTCTTACTGGCTTAGATCCCTTCCTTAAAGCTAATCTGCTATTATTAATACCAAATATGGGTTGCATAACAGGGTGGCCAGACGAGATTAAGACTAAGCTAGGTTTATTGACTAGGGGGTTCCCTTTGTCTGTTGTAACTGGCATGCAAATTGTTCTCTGTGGGTCATCACTAGCCATTGTCATGAAAAAAGGCCCAAGCATTTCACTGAATTATTGGTCACCATTCACTCATTTCACAATGGAACAACAAGGTTACTTACGTAGGACTAGGGTATGTTTATTTGAAACAGTCATTCAAAGTATATGTACCTTTTTTGTCTGTTTTTGTTAGTTTTTAACTGATGCATTATGCAGATTTTTTTCAGTGAAAGGCCAAATTTTGTTAAGCCAATACTGTTTTTGTAATGATTGTCGACACAGAACTATATTCTGCTTCTAAAGGTTCTAATAAAGCTGTGTTTAATAGCCTGGGGTGATGGGGTTTTCCTTTCATCTGAGAACTACATTTGTGTTAATTTTTTAACTTTCTCCAATCAAAGTGCCAAGTGATGCATTCAACTGTTTCATTGATGCTTGTGTGGGCAAAATAACTTCTGAGTTAATGCATTCTTCATTCCATTTTTCTGCATTTAATTTTCTTTCCAACTTGACTGTGGATGCCATGACTGATTAAATAGGTAGTTCATTCAACAGAACAAGTTTCTGCAAGCCTCAGTATGCAATTTTTCAAGCTGAAAGAAAGTTAGTCCCTTAATGAAACAGAGGCAGCTGGTAATCTTATTTGACTTTTGTCCCTCCTCTGTGAAGATGTCTAGTGTGACCGTTAAAGTTTTTTTGTTTTTAAATTGTATTCCATCAGTTTGCATTTTATGTTACCACACTGTGACTGGTATTTATATGATTTCTGTACTTCTTTAATTTTCCAGGATGTGGTTGTGGTTTTCAATTAAGTTGAAGTAAAGTACTATTAAAAATTAGATTTACATAAAACTAACCATGATTACTACTTCTTTTCTGTCATTCCCTACCAGGTGAAGACATTGTGAAAATGTTTTTTCATAGTACTCCTTTCCTAGCTTACACTTCCATTTCCTTGTGTACTTGTCTTTAAACTGGTAAAAAAATCAATTTTATGAGCAATGTCCTGGGACAGTTGACAATTATTTTTTGCTTGATCCTGATGATGACTTCAGTACAGGTTGTGTTAATGTGACCAACAACAATTCTTTTTGTTTTTTCTGTACTACCCCTTGCCTTAACTATCTCATGATATTGCCAACCATGTTGCAATTATGATTATTGTTTACTTCAATGTTCAGTTTAATCAATTTTTGCAGGCCATACCGCCACTTCCAGCTTCATCTCCTAAACAGAAAAGATATGAACTACTTTTGGACAAACCAGGGTCATATCCAACAATGCCAAGAAGAGAGGAAAACCACGTGTCTCACACAAATTCCACCCCAGGTAAAGGGGATTTTTTGCAATAATTAAGTTTCTCAACTTTTGTAGTAAGGCAAAGTTTTCCTACAAGGTTGCCTCACATGGCTTCTCCAGCTCCTTTGGCTGCTAGTTCTCACACAGGCAACCCCTTGGCATTTCATCAAGTTCTCGTTAAGAATAGTCAGACTCTTGGTGACACAGTGCTTCTCTTGTGAAAGGAGTCTAACTGCCTCCCAGTTAGCTCAATGGATAGAGCGCTGGACTGTTGTGTGGGAGGTCGAGGGTTCGAGCCCTGGCCAGACCAACACTCAAGGTCTTAAAGATAATTGAGAAGGATATGTTACCTTTCTATAACATCAAGAAATGGTTAGATATTCTAGTCTTCTCGGATAGGGACCAATAAATGGAGGTCCCGTCTCCTGCAGAGTTAGGGGTAGGAGACGTTGATTTCCCACACACGAGATTACTGTGTGATGGATGTCCTACCCTGGGGTGGGATGGGTGGGTTTGCAGAGCCCCATTTAAACCAGCATATGCTGAACTGGGCATCTCTGCTAAAATATAGTTGATAATTAAATAAATAAATAACATTTAACCCATAGACTCCCATAAGTGACTAAGACAGAATTTCTCCTTACAATATCAAGCAGACAAGTAATGAGAACACAGAAAGATATCAACTAGGGGGTTATTAGTTAATCCAATACCCAATTCTTGAAACTAACGCCATAACTATTGAATGGCAGACAGTAAGAAGAATTTCAAATAAGATCTTGGGAGTAAAAGGGTTATTGATTAACTAATTGATATTGAGGGAAACTGGACGATATGCTGGGGAAGGGGGACTTGCAGTGGACTGGCATCCCATCAAGGTGAAGTAGTAGTACTTCCAGTCACTTTATGCTAGAGAAACTGGGACAAGCTCCAGCTGGATGTAATACTAGGCTCCAATACTGACCTAGACTTTCCCCCCCTGATACTGACAGTGATGAGGGTACATAGCTCAGTTTACTAACTATTTAGGGAGAAGTAATCCATATGTGAGAAAATATTGTGATCGACAGGTCAATGAAACTGGAATTAAAAGTTCTTTTAATTGTAGGTCATGTATCACTTGAATGTTATTTCTGCTGATTTATTGAATAGACTGAGTTCTCTTCTCTTTGGGTCTCAGGGGTTGTGTACCTTCAATATGGCGATGAGATCAAACGTGCCATGTTACCAGCAGGTTTGGATGATCTTCAACAAGTACAGTCAATGTTCAACCAAACATTCCCTGATAAGATCAAGAACAATGCAGACAACAGAAAGACTATCTACATCAAAGACAACTCTTGTGGAGTTTTCTATGAGCTGGACAATGTTGGGTAATACTTTATCATTTCTTACACCTATATGACCACAATTTTAATGGCATCATTTTTCTGGGAAACATAAGTATAATGGAGTGAAATTTAAAACTTCATTCGATAATAGATGCTTCACTTGGAAAAATATTTGTTTCAAAGTTTCTGGAGATTTAAACCAAACTTGTAGATGCAAGAATAGAAAGGGTAACATTCTAAAGAAACTGTGGTGTTGTGTCAATGGGGGAGTATAACAAGGTAATGTTGGTTTTATTAACTAAGTTGATAATGTAAATTGGGCACCATAAGGAGTTTCAAAGCTGATGTTAAGTGTTTGGCAGCTCAGTTGATAAAATCAAAATGACCTTGTAGATGTAAGGTTAAATTTAATTTTTTTGAAAATTTGATTTTTCATTTATTTCCAGCATTTTGTTCTCATTGTTTTCTTTGCTGACTTTAATTTTTTTTTTTTTTTTTTTAATACTTTTCCACTGAGGGAAAGTAAATTGGACAATATTTATGATCCTTCTTGACAAATAATGAAGTGATTTCTTTTTTCCACAGTGATTTGTCAAACAAGTCTCATCTAAAGGTTCTAGAGTCCAGGCCCTTCCAGAATGGTCCAGTCTCACACTCTGTCAGCAGCTCAACAGCTGTACACACTGGAGCTCAGGTGACCAGCACACCCTTACCCAATCACAGTCATGTCACTCCAGCTGATGCAATTCACAGTGCCCACAATGTCAAATATACAAAAACAACTACTGTAACAAGACAAGCCAGTGGAGGTCCAAGTGTAACAACGGTGACTAGAGTTGTTAGTAATGGCAATGAGGAAGACGAGAATACAGCTCCACACTCAGTGACTAGCGGAACTCTGATGGAACAGAAGAAAGTTCCTCTACCTGGTCTCGGTGCTAGTCACAATCTGAAACCCAGAAGGTATCAAGAAAAGTTTTGGTTGCAAAAACGATGTATTATACATATACACACACCTTATATTTTAAATGGTTGAACAAGGGAGTTATCATTCCACTATCATTTTAGTTTTTAAAATGCTTCCTATGGCCTTATCTGAGCATCGATCACGTAAGTCATATATGCTTTAAATGTGATGGCTGAATCATTTCACTTGCACCTCTTAATGCATTCTTTATAGCAGATTGCACTTTATAAAAAAAAAAAAAACTATTATGAACTAATCCTCTTGGTGACTTTTCTCTGTTTTTCTCATAATTTGCATTAATGAATTTCAGAGCTTCTCGTGATCCAGTTGAGGATCAAATTGACCATCTCACCAACATGCTGCAAGATGCCCTGAAAACAGGAAGCCATGACAGTTTACCTACAAAAAATTCCGAAGGAAGTGCATCAAGCTCACAGAGCAGTTTTATTGACCATGGTTCCTTAGAAGGTAATGAACCAAGTCGTTTGCAGCCCTTTAGAACACGTGTGAGGAGTGATTCTGGAAATGAGTCCCTGTTGTCTGATGTTAGTCCATCCACACCTGTAGAAGGTACACTGCACTAGCAATGATCAGAAATGATTGCAAGCAATTTCTGGCTGTTTTTTCACTTACGCATCTTGTTCTTTGAAGTTTGAATGTTTTAAGAGTAGCTGAGAAAGGTCCACGACCATTTAACAAGTCAATTCTCTCGTTTAACCCTTTAACTCCCAAGATCTGATAGTAAATTCTTCCCTCTAGCTATTACTTAGCAAGGCTGTGCTCTAAGGAAACTTGAATTGGGCCCAGTGCTTTAAAACTGTGAAATCCAGGGTGCCCAGCATATGCTTTGTATGAAAAAACTAAAATTCCTGAGTCGCCCAAGGGAAAAAGTATGGCGTCAGGGGCCACTGGGCGCTGCTAAACCACAGCCTTACTTGTTTCCTTGTTAATTAGGTTCCAAAATATCAACTTCTACCCGATAAGTTTGAGTATTCTCATTACCTGTCTACTGAATATTTTATGGATATTATAGGGAGAAGTTACAGGTTAATCTTTAGTGGGAGTCAAAGGGTTTGAGCTTTGTGTTTATGCATCAGCAAAATTGAACTCAACATTGAAAATAATTTTGCTCATGTATCTTTTAACTCCCAAGTTAATATAAAAATCAAGTCAAAAAAAAATTACTATCACAGCTAGCAGAAACAAATATCTTGCATACAGCAAGAAGTTCAATTGTTGTTGTTTCCCATTTCCCATGCGAGTCTTGCTTAACATTTCTAGTAGATGAGATTCCCAATCTTTGTGTTTCAGTGATGTGCCACAGTTGATGTTAAATTAAATTGACTCCTTTGTATTTGCTTGTCTCACTCTTCAATTTTTCTTTTCCTTGCTCATTTCACTGATCATTGTTATTTTTTTATTTTATTTGTTGTACTTGCTGCATTGATTTTGTTTCATGTTTTCTTTGACAGAAATTCATTATCATTTATCTCAGTAATTTTTTTCTGAGTTTTTCTTTTGCAATTTTGTTCATATTCACCATCATCAAGTAAATCATTTCAAATTTTTATATATATTCTTAGCCTGTTTGATGTTGCTTTAGTCAATTTGGTTTATAGAATAAACTAAAAGATCATGATTTAACTTGTTTTCAACATTCATTTGTACAGGATGTTGTAAACTGTCCTAAAATCACATCATTTACTTGGTAATGCATTTTCATCCACCAAAATTTCCAAGAGTTCAAAGGAGGCTAACATGCTCATTGCATTAATTTGGTTAATTGTCTTTCTTATGTAGAAGATGTATGATTTACTCAGAAATTCAGGAATTTCAATAACTTTTTTTTCTGAAGTCTATCCCTATTGTTGAAGAAGTGGCACAAATATGATGCCTTACAAGGCCTTAATGGGGGCGATAGTTCAGTTGTGAAACTCCAGCAAGTTGAAATAGAACCTCTGACTTTCCCCTTCCCTCACAGGAAAACCAAAACAGGTACCAGCACCTCCCCCAAGAGCTTCAAGTTCCAGAGAATCATCTTTAAAATACAGTCAGACATTGCAAAGAGATTTCAGCCCAAGAGGAGCCAAGAGAGACATCAGTGTACAATACCAGACACAGACTCTGCCTCTGCCTTCATCGAAACCAAAACAAAGATTGCTAGACAGTCCCATGCCTTTGTCATCAAGCAGTTCAACATCATCTGGCAGCCATGCGTCAGTCAAATACGAAGGTTTGTTTTGAATAAGATCTTGAAAGAGTTAAGCCATAATAATCTAAAATTAATTATGGTTATCATAACCGTCTGTGGGGAATAAAAGTGAAATAGCAAAAGAAACACATTATTGATTAATCATACATCATAGATTTTCTACTGTTCTTTATTTATGCTTGCATTTTTCTAACTAGTTCAGACTTTAATTTTGAATATTTCTTCTTGTCATTACTGTATTTTGTTTTTAGGACGTGTTAAGGACCATAAAGCTCTAGAAGTGAGAACGTCAACACTCCGCGGAGACCTGAGAATGCTTAGAGCTGAGCTCACTCAGCTGAAACAGTTCCAAACTTTCCAAGCGCAACAGTTTGATGAAATGATCCAAAGGGCCAAGGAGCAGATTGTGCAGCGTGTTGCTCAAACAAGCAGTGGTAAGTTTGTCATCTTTCTCTTGCTGTTTGTTGGTGACTTTTTTTCAATTGTTTGTTCAAACAATTTGTTTTCATCTGTAGGGGATGACAGTGGTTTGAAATCCAGAAGACAGAAGGTCCAAGCGGAAGAGATGACCTATGTTCAAGGAAAAAATGACATAAACCGGCATATCAGGTAAAACCCATCAGCTGAGATTTGAAAAATCTTGTACAACATTTTATCTTTTATCTTGCTTTAAAAGAATGTCATATTCTTATATTCTATGTATTTGTGATTTACAGTGAGCTTGAGAGCGAAGTGGAGATGCTTCGTTTGGATGTTGTGCAAAAGAGGTGCATTGCCAATCCTGCTGAGGTTGACAGTCTCAACAGTCAGTTGGGAATTATAAGCCGTCAAGTTTCAGATCTTAAGAGTAAGTCAAATTGAAGATATGATTCATTAGTAATGTTCTAAAACTGGATAGTAAATGCTTGTCTCATTTGGAAGAAGGATCAAGGTTTGCTTCTACTTCTAAGAGTTAACCACAGCTTTTTTTTTTTTTATTCTAGGTCAATTTGCAGAACTCCATGACAACATGAAATCAATCATGGCTTCAGAGTTAGAGGTTATTGTTCAGGGAGATAAGTAAGTAAAAACAGAATTTAACCCTTCACACCCACTAAGTAAGACTTAATTTAACGAGGGTAACATTTGACAGTAATAAAACTATGATAACCTAATGGCCCTCAAAAAAACAAAAAAAAAACAAAAAAAAAACCCAATGGCAATAGTGGTAACAATATTAATAGTAATTATTTGCTGAAGGCAAGGTGAATATCGTCGAATAATCCCCGAGACGAAGTCGAGGGGATTATTCGACAATATTCACCAAACCCGTTTTTTTATAATTTCAGAGCTGAACCACAGAGAAATTTCTAAAATCATAACATTTTAGTAACACTTATTAACATTTTACTTTAACATTTTATATAAACCATGTGGAGTTCTTTATATAGCATCTGATAAGGAACTGCTTGACCAATCAGATTGCTGGAAACTCTTTGCTCAGCCCTGAAATTATACTAAAATAGTATATAAGCCTTTGTACATTGCAATATAATATTGATATTCTACGCACTATTCTATTTACATTCCCTATGGTGCTTAAATTGGTGATCATTTCCTTTATTCTTGTGACCTTTGTAATTGATTCAAGGGTGACATTGTAAGGAGAATTTAGAAGCAAGTCACTTTTTGGTGAGAAAGGGTTAAGGATTTTTTGGCCACAATAAAAATGGGTTTGAATTTTGTTTAAATTATAGTTTCAAAATAGTACTTTGTAATGAAATCAGCTTAATGACACATTTGTTTAGTTTCTTTCCTTTTTTTCCTGCAGATTTTTGAAGGAAGAACCTTCTAAACTAGAGAACCTTGTCAGTCGATGTAAACACATTACTGGAACGTTATATACATTGCAAAAGTAAGACCACATTTGGTTAAATTTGTTAGAATTTGTTAGCATCTAAAGATTCCCATACCCCAGTCACTAGGAAGCAGCATGCCTGGCTTGTACAGTACTGACATACATGTTATTATTAATTTTTCAACCAGGGCACTGAGCCAAACTCAACCAAGAACTTCTGTTTTGTTAGTGATTGTTTGAAACAATGGCACAGCTGATTGTGTAATTAACCTGCACACAGAAATGATGTTGATAATGGACTTAATCCCTGATCTTTTCATGTTGTTTGTTTAGGTTGGTGACTGCACAGCAGCAGATTAAGAGTGAGAGCGAAGCCTCATTCAGCTCTTTAGAGGTTTGTCACTGGAAGTTAAATCTTTCTTTGCAGTGTTGGAATAAAACAATTTTATTAACATGTCATGACGAAGCTTGAGTTAAGCATCTTCTGTCAAATTTCGAACAATTTTGAAAAAAATTGGTCCTAAAAAATTAAACAGCAGTTATTTTATTACACAATTTTCAGGAAGTTGACAGAGAAGTGATTGAAAGTATACGTTCAGTCAAAAGGGAATATATAGACAAAAGAGGAGTGGAACATAATTTTACAGAGGTAAGTTCTGCTGGACACTTATCCATTCATCCACAAGTGATTGACTTGAAATATTTCATCAAAATTTAAGTACTTTATCCAGGGAAGAAATAATGAGAATATTCAAAATCGAGAGCCAGAAAGTGTTGTGATGACTGAGGAAATTTGAAGAAGGAAAAACGTTTTGTTTTAACTGTATTAAGAATCAATTTTATGAGGATTTTAGCTGCTTCAAGTGTGAACAGAAGACATGATGTCTGGTTCCTCAAGATATTGAAAATATTCCTTGCCTTTACACCCAAAATTTCTACAAAATTACATAGATGTTTAAGGAAATAAACAGTTTGTCTGATCTTACCTGATCTTGGGCATTGAAGGATCAGACCAGTTGTCCAAGCAGGGAAGTGGCCTGTGACTTGTCCCTTGCAGTTTCATTTCTAATGTTGCAGTGTCTTGAAAGACTGTGGGGCAGAACTCAATTGGTCCCCTGTGGAGGCATATTTTTAGTGAGCAGCTGTTTATAATCTCTTTATGGAAAGTATGGGAACCATTTTGGATTTTAATGCAGGGGAGGGACTGGTAAGGATAGTGATTTTCTTAGAAGGAAGGGGTAGGAGAATATGCAAGGGGAGGTTAGAGGAGAGGGGAGGGGAAGGGGCTCCTACCATCCTCATCTACTCTTACCCTAAATCAAATATGGGAGCTTGGAGAACAGTTAATGCTCTTGTGCTCTTCCCAATAAAATTCTGGCATGGTGGGCCATAATCCAGCAGCCACTTGCTTAAAACGTAAATGCCTCTTTTTTAAAGGTTTCAAAGTCACCTGCAAGGGCACGTCAGAGAGTTCGCTTTTATGATGAAGTGACCCAGCTACCATGAATCACTGAAAATTGCTCAGATGTGAGAATTACTATGGAAACATGCTTCCTCAGATGATCTTGGTGCAAGCAAGTGCAGACAAAAGATGCAGTTCACATTAATGATGGCAAATCCATTCCAGTTTGGATAAGATCACAAGGAGAGTTTTTGAGCAATGGAAGTTTGTTTTTCTTGGGGCTAGATACTGTTGGCAGTGACATCTCAACAAAAATCAGAAAACGGAATGTTTTCAATTCTCCTGGTGTCGAGCATCAGGGAAATTTTAGTGGTATATTTTAAAGCTTTCTCTTTTTAATATTGTAGTAAATTAATGCATTCTGTCAGTGCTGTTTTACTGCTGGGAAAACCTTTTTTTGATCACGTTTTCAAAGATTGTATCTAAAATTTCATGAAGTGTTAAATACGAGTGAAAATTATTCATTGCCATACTAATTCTTTAACGAGAAATTAAATTTTTTCAGCATTTTTGTTGAGGATGGCAAAGTTTTCTTAATTTATTCTTCAAAGAATCAAATTGCAGGTGTGATTCCTAATCATGCATTTGGCTACTAATTCTTTTGTTTTAATATAAACAAAAACAACAAGATAGCTTTTATAGGCAGCTATAGAAATGATTTTAATATAGAAAATGTTGCACCTTGATCGTGACAAAAAATATATATATATATATTTCGTACAATTTTTCTTAGTCTGAGACAGATCTTTAAATGTAAATATTGCTGATGAAAAAAGTTGTTTCCATTCAGTTTTCTTCAAAACTTAGACATCAAGTAACTTCTACGTTTGTTATGTGACTGGTAATTCATATTCTAGAGTGCTAATTGGGAGAGTTTACATCTATGATATATTGGTGTTGTGATACATTGCTGTATTTAAGTTATGTGCTCCATAATGCCCTGTTAGTTTGAAACATTGTTTATTGCTCACCCCTGGTAGTTAGAATAATTGTTATACTGCACTTTTGACCACCACATTTTCTAGTGATCTTGGTGTGGGCATAATGATAAGAACTCCTGGAATTCACAGCTTTTAGAGGCATTGTTAGTATATTTGATGTTTTTAAAAATTGCCTCAAAGCTTTAGGGCTTACCTAAATCACAGAGGTCTTTAAATATTTGTAAAGTTGTTGTCCTATGGCTGAACTTTTTCAGTACCTTAAGAGCCATTTTACTACTGATTGACTGATTATAGTAGATTTTTCCTGAGGGAGGAGTGGGTAGCCACCTGTTTGGGGGGAGGGGAAGGGGTAAATACATGAGGGAGAGGGAGGGTGGGACAATGCATGTTTGCCTATTATTGACAAAATGTAAGGTTAAATGTAATTTTTAAGAAATAATAAATGTACAAAACATTGTAAACAAAGCATTCTGTTATGTTTTGTTTTTGGCGAGGTTTGGAGAATGGAGGTTCAAAGACATTGCCAGGTTCCATTTATCCAGTTAACTCCTAAAAATTATTGATAATGGAGGTCCAACAACTGAGTTTAAAATCCTCCCTATAGACTTTTTTCATTATTGTGCACTTGAGATTACCATTCTTTCATGTGCATGCCAATCAGCCTACTTGACCTTGCTTGTGAGTGAAAATTCCATCATTTTTAAACATGTTGTCAAGGTAAGAAAGGCTAATTTACAGGCATTATAAAAGAATACAGTCGGACCTCGATTATCAGGACTTGAAGGGACTGGGCTTAAAAATACAGATTATCAAGAATCTGGATAAAAAAAATATGAATATTTATGAGCCAAAAGTAAAACTGAAGATGCATTATGAAGTCCATATTATGCAAAAAATTTAAGTACATTCTCAAATTATTGTGCATCATTGCCAAAATTTGCCAAAGTATTTACAAAAAACGTTTCATGATGACCTAATATCCTGATGTAAATCAGTTTGTCTCAACTGTTACAGCATGTGTACATTGCAAATTCCATCATTCTTTAAAGCTGCATTTAATAGAATTAGTGTACAGTAATTGTAATAGATTCAGTAAATCTGCCTTGTTTGATGGAGAAAAGTTGCAGCTCTTGAACGTGACTAAATAATTTTTGGTGAAAAAATGGGACCAGAGAGGCGGATCCAGGTAATTGAGGTCCAGATAATAGAGGTTTGATTGATGCAATTAGCCATATATGATGGAGGTCTATATTTCCATGTCCCCTTAAGAGGAAAAGCCTAAGCCAGTTGTAACCACATTCAAAGGCTGAGACAACATGGATGTAAAAGAAAAACCATCATGTACTTACATTTTTGTAATCCAGTGTCAGGGTTCCTCTCCAAGATGGGTCTGTGTAGCAGATCTCTTTAGTCTTGAACTCCAATCCAAAGTTGGCAATGCCCCAGTGGGATTTCATTCGGTAGATCTGAAATAATAAAAAAAAAAAAAAAAAATTTAGAAAAATAAAGTGGGTTATTCTAATCAATAAAAATTGAATTGTATATATCTTATTAACCAAGCGTGAGGGCCATACTGGGAGAACTGATCGGCCCGAGGTCTTGACAGTATGGACCTCGCTGCGCTCGGTCTATACAAAAAAGACAGAAGGCCGATATTCTTCCAGTATGGTCACGAGCAAGCTTGGTTAATAAGAGATTTATTACACGACTGAAGTTCGAAGAGACACAAGTGCGGTATCATTCGGGACAGTGCCCAGTCCAATACTGAGAGAATATTGACCGGCAATAGAGCATTTTGATTGGTTGATTTTAGTTATTGGCCCTCTGACTTCCCGAGTCGTGTAATAAAGGACAATATTGTGGGCCCAAAAAATAAAATACAAAAGT